AAAGGAGGCAGTACAGCGTGCAGCCCATGGACCATATATCCGCAGCTCTTCCCGAGACATGCCCGTGCTTGGCAACACACAGCTCAGGCGGCATAAATGCTGGCGAGCCCGCTGACTTTGCCGTCTTCATCTCGCCTTCCTTGTCGAACATTTCTGAAACGCCGAAATCAACAATCTTTAGCACGTCTTCTTCCGTGATGAGGCAGTTGTCGGGCTTGATATCGCGGTGGATAATACCCTGGGCGTGGACTGGCAGAAGTTAGCCTTGGGTCACGCAGGGTCGGATGTCACGCACGGTATTCGAGACCCAGTATCATGTCTCTGAACCAACACCGACACTGCTCTTCGCTGTATGGGTCGGCGCGCTCCTCGAGACCAACTTGCATGACGACGCCCTTCTTGCACATCTCCATGACCATGTATAGCGAGTCTTCCTCGGGGTCGTCCAGCACCTCGATCAAGGTGACCAGGTTGGGGTGGTTCAGCTTCTTCATAATGGCAATCTCTTCCTTGATGAGCTCAAAGGCATTGTTCTCTTCGGTGACGGAGTGGCGGTGCAGGGGCGAGTTGAAGCCTATGCCAGCTGGGAGGGCGCGCATTCGCTTCGCAGCCGTGGGTCGGCGGAGGAGGTTGGACTGGGCGCGTTTTCGCAATCGCGACTTTGAGAATTCCTTGACAGCCTGCGCGTTGATGCGTCAGCGAAAGCCAATGGCTGTACCTCGTAGGGAACCCGCATGTGTATCTCTCTCTGGGCGCATGCGCCGGGTGGGGCCTTCTCTTTCTGGTTGTCAGGCTGGTATCCTCACATATTCTTGGCCATATTGGTCTACGGCAAGGTGAACAGCGCCAAAGGAGCCGCGGCCAATCTCCTGCTTGACTAGGTATTGGTTGATGCGGTGCTGGGCGCTGCCGTCATCTTCGCTGTTGCTGTACTCGGAGCGCGCATTGAAGGTTTCCTAGCAGGTTAGCGTCAATGCGTCGTCGCATACTGTGCGTGGCGGCCGTCGCACCTTGACACGTCTTGTCGAGGAAGCTGCGCGCTTGTGGTGTCGTAACGGGCTCTGGTATGCGGGTGTTGACCTGGTCTAGCATCAGCACTACTACCAGCACCTCCGCGGGGTAGCCGTGGCAGCAACACGTACATAAACTTAACGGGCGGCGGTCGTCCGGCCTCGCCGACTGCAGGAACGTCGAGAGAAGGTTGCGAGGTGTAGATGCGCAGGTCGGATTCCGAAGGGCGTTTGGGGGGAGGTGTTGGCGTAGGCGTCGGCGTAGGGGAGGGTGACATAACTCCCTCAGTAGTCGGACAGGGCGGCCGGTAGCTAAGTACGTAGTTGATAAGATTGACACACGGGGCTAGCAGAGGGTTAGGGAGAAATAATATGGGGAAGTCCGGAACCGTCGACGCAGACGTTCCGAGAGTGCAGGATCCAGTTGTTTAGAGAGGGCCCAACTAGAGAGAGAGAGGGGGGACGATGCAGCTGAGAGGGGGCCGTTTCCTGACATTTCTTTCAGCCTCACCCGCCGTCACAACCATCACCCCCGTCACAACATCACCTCCAGCTCGCTGTCCACTTAGACCGTGCTCTGTTGATCCACTCTGCTTTCATCCGTCGTCCATCTCCACCTTCGCTCCGATTACCCTTCACCGGCCGTATCTGACGTATCTGACGTATCTGCCTGCCTGCTTGCCTACCGTCAATTGTCATCGGTGACCAAGCCCGCATAGGCGCTTCCCTATCTCCAACACCACTTCCGCATACCAATCACCTCCCCCGACCATCCCCCTACGTCATCTTCCTCGCAATGGTCCTCTACAGCTTCTACATCTTCGATCGGCACAGTAAGTACTCTCCTGAATGTCGTGGCTGCACGCGCTGACCCCGTCCCTCAGCCGAGTGCATCTACTCGCGGCGCTGGACGCCCGCGCGCCCCTCGTCGTCGTCGTCCAAAGCCACCACTGCGCGCCCGCAATCCGGCACCTCGATTGCGTCCAACGGGGACGTCGTGGCCGCCGTGCGCAAAGGCATGTCGCACTCTGACGACGAGAAGCTCGTCTTTGGCCTCGTCTTCTCGTTGCGCAACCTCGTTACCAAGCTGGGCGGCGCCGACGACACCTTCCTCAGCTACCGCACCGGCGAGTACAAGCTGCATTACTACGAAACGCCCACGCGCATGAAGTTTGTCATGCTCACCGATACAAAGGTGATTAACCTGCGCCAGTACTTGCATCAGATTTGGGCGAACTTGTACGTCGAGTATGTGGTGAAGAATCCGCTGGCGCCTGTGGAGCATCCCGGTGGGATTGGGGTTGCGAATGAGTTGTTTGAGAGGGGCTTGGAAGCTTTCATCACGGCGGTGCTGCCGGTTTGAAGACGAAGGAGGGTATTAAGTCAAGATACACAACGGCAAAACGCACACAGGGACACGGATTATGGCATGCGACAGCACCATGGGCTGAGAAAGGCAGGACAGGCGGGTTTTCCCATTACAATGCAGCCACGGTGTCCTCAACAACAGCAAATCCTCTCAGGCCCAGAATTCCTGAACCCAAATATCCTCAACGAAAGAAGCATAGAAAAGCTGCACCAGATTACCTCGACCCGCGGGGAATGCAACGACGGACATGCATACAAGCTTCGAGCCGTGTCGGGAGTGGCCGCACTTTCCTTGTCAACCCCAGACGCTCGACTGGCCCCACATTCATGTACACAGCCTCACACCAAGACGCGACCAAGCAGCGCTGCATGGGCATGTGCGTGGGCTCTTGGTCTAGACTCGTGGTGGGATGTGTGGAAGAGTGATGGGGAGGAGGGGCATGTTGCGTTGCAGTATAATAGATATTGAATATATCCTCCCTTTTTGACGGCTGTGTCAACGCTGGTGTCGTAGTGTTTTGTTTGCGTATATGTATTGAATGGGAATGGGATTAACGATAGAATGTGACAGCCACGACCTGGAGTTTCGCGAGTGATTCGAGACATGTATAGTGGTATTGGGGCTCTTTTGGGAGCGGCCGGACCGAGGACTCATGCAGACATTTTGCTGCTCTTTTGGCGCAGAGGAACATTGTTGAAGAATGGATCGCTGGATGGCAAGGATTTCATTTGTTCATCTCTAGCCTTGTGTGCAGCGACGCAGACAAGAGGCTAGATGTGTATAGTTTTGGACCGTCTGCTTCACACGACGAAGTTTGTAACAGATTTCTTGGTTTTCTTCTTTCGGTGGAGAGAGAGGTTTTACACAAGGGCAAGATGATGAGCGGGTTGAGAAAGAGGTCCATGTTTTGTAGATCGTCTCGAAAGCACGGGGTCATTAACGTTCAGTGTAGAATTTTTCGGTCTTCCTCTTCTCATAATGGAGCCAGACCATGATTTTGGTATATGTTTCAGGAAATGGATGTAATAGCAGAGTGGGAGTTAGAGTGGTAAAGACGGCTTGTGTGTGATTTTTGTTCGAATGTCGAAGCCCAACGGCCATAAAGACGTCATGTCAGTTTTTTGGGATCTTTCCCTGTTGCATGGCACTGTTCTTGTCATATTTTGATTTTTTGAAGAAGAGAAGATTGCTTGTGAGGAAGGTAAGAGAGGGAAGAATGGAAGCCTTTTATAAGTTTCACGTCCTAGGCTAAAAGACACAAGACTATGTTCTTCTCAACATCGATGGGAGGGCTCTCTGCTCATTGTAGCGCATACGCGTAACGAGTTTGGGTTCACTCATGTGGATGGCGACCATGTATGTCCAGATCTCCGCCTCTGAATCACTAGTTTTCGCATAACTTCTCTGGAATGTGTGTTCCTACAGATTGTTTTCACATGATTCGTTTTGTCCCTAAGTTCTTTAGAAGCATGTTCGGCTTCTGCTTTTTGTACAGGAAGAAGTGGGTGTCTCAGACATGAGTTCGTTTTGGTTGTGATTTTGGAGCAACGAGGGAGTTGGTGGAACGAATTTATGTTCTGCAAATCGCACATCTGGTTCCGGAACAGTGATTGTGTGACCTGATCAGCGCCGCATCCGAGACATCTACGACTCCCTCTGAACATGCAGAAGGAGGCAGCAGACGCAGACATCAGGGTTAATGATCTTTTTTTTTTGATAACGGGAGAGAAGCATGTGCGGTTTAGAAGACGAAGTTTTTCTGCGGACCGCGATTTTGAATATGGTTTTATAGTGGTGTTGCAGGCCTAGGAAGCGATGAGCAACATGGACGAATAGCTTCTGTTTTTGCAGAAAAGCAGCGAGAGACATAACAGCATGGCGTGTGGTTTTTGGGTATAGAAGCGGACGAGCAGAAATCGGAAGGTATTTCCCCTTTTCTGGCAAGAATGATGGGTAGGCTTTTACAGAAGAGAGGGAGCCTGAGGGTAACGAGGAAGTTTATATATCCTCAGCCTGTGTGATGAATGTAGCAACGTCTCGCAACCGATTTTAGCCGTGTTTCTACCGCGACCACAAACCTTTCCACGCGTCATGATCCTCGACCAAGCCTCTTTTCTGCCTATTTGTAGATGAGATCTTGGAGCTGTGTAAGTCCGGCGTGACACATGTCATCTCCACGGCAATTCTATCCGCCTTCTTCCCTCAATCATAGAAGATGTTGGACGCTGTTTAAGGAAAGGGAAAGCGACCCAGACATGTAAAAGACCACTAGTTGTTTCGATACCGAATCTGGAACATCCATGCAGCTGGAATCATCATCGAATGCGTTGATCTCTTTGAGCATTCCTTTGCACATGTGGGTAGATGCCAGTGCTTTGGCGATCCCAGCGACCATCACAATCAATGATTGCATTTTTGGGGTCCGAGACACCAAGGGGAAACAGCCATAGTCTTGTTGTTTGTTATTTTTGGTGAGCAGAAGGACCGGAAGGTTTAGAGGGATGGGAAAGAGCAGGGCAATCGGTAGCTTTTATACACGGCGTCGCACGCTATCGGAGGCAGTTGACGATTTGCCAGACTTCCATATGAAACACTGACCGCCCATATGACTGGAAAGGAGTTCAGTATTCGTCATCAGACTCTTCCCCAGTAATCTCATCTTGTTCTTCCTCTTCCTCACCACTATCGTTCTTGTAACCGTCATCTTCATCCTCATACATCACAATACCTAGCTTTCTTCGTCCCTCTGCATATAGTGCCTCATCTTCCTCTTTCAGTTCTCCCGCTACTTCGCGCATCTTCGGAATCATCACGTTGAGGACAAAGTCTCCAAGTCTTCCCCCAACGTCATCGAACTGTGAGATGAACTTAGGTACTAGGTCTTCGAGTATCTCGCGCAACTTTGCATCCTCATCCTTTACGCGTCTTTCTTCCTTCGGAGTGTATCGAAGGTGTGGTTGCACGTTGTATTTAGGATCGTTATCGTGATGAAGACAGCTGATATCGCAACATGTATGTCTCAACTCCAGATATGAGAATACAAATAAGCGTATGTACTCATGGACGATACTATAAAGCTTGAGGGTATGCGACGCGTCATCGACCCAAATGGCCAACTCGAGAAGTAAGACCGATTGACCTCCTGCATCGGCAAGTCGGGAGGGTGTACTTGACGCATTAGCTCCCACTTCCCCTTTTGAATTTACAAATTTGACCCAATCGCAGATGGTAGGCAAGGAAATCTGGGGGTGAGGCGAGGTGTCTGAAAAGATTGTCTTCCAGAAGCACGTCAGAAAGTTGCAGCCGGAGCTGCTGCATCCGCATTGACAATGGTCCAAGACCCCTTCTTGTACGAACGAATCGAAGGCTTTATGCTCCCAGAGATGCGCCATAGGCATGTCTTCTTGTTTCAGTATGTCTTCGTAATACTCTTGTATGTGATTCGCAGTTTGCCAGGCCAGACAATGTAAAGCCGTAATTCTTGATCCTGGCCACGTCTCTCTCAGATCCGCCGCTCTGGAAATGAACCATTGGACTGTCAGGTCGCGCTCGGTCAACGCCCCCTTTGTAGAAAAGCTGCCGTACGTTTGCGTTGTAAGGAAATACATCAAAGGCGAGCAAGATGTTTCCATGCTACACCTATAATTCTTTCCACCAATCTCACAGAAGCCATCATTTTCATAACTGTCGAAAACCAGACGTCCCAAATAACACCAACAACTCGTTCTGTAGTACAGACTCTTTCTCTTCGGCCAGTAACGCTGTGGGACTTTGACTCCTTTGTCCACAAGTGTATTGAGCATGCATCTCAAATGCGCATCCGGTGGATTACTCCGAGCACTATTACAGCAGTACTCAATCTCGTGCTTTTCCACGAAGAGTCTGATTTCTTGTCTCAAATTCGACAGATAAAAGGCCACGTCGCGAAGAATGTCCTTGTTATACTCGGACAGAATACGGCATTCGTGGCCATCTAACATGTCCTCCGCGTAGCCGATGAGATCCAGCTGTGGTATATCGAAGTCTGCTCGGTGTGACAGCCAAAACTGCACCATTTCTAATCGATTCGTGCTAGCTGAGCTTCCGAGCAAGGTGTAGTACTCTGCTCGCTTGTAGTCTTCGTTCAGGTTTGCCATCAAATCTGCCTCAAGCATAATCTTACAACCATTTACCCATCCAGTAGTAGTAGCCAAGCCCAAAGCGTACATGACAGTCTGAGCATCCAAGGTTTGTGAGTCTTTTGGTTGACGAAGGCATCGCCGAAGCTGACGGTCGGATCTCAATATGGTGGCCTCTAATAAGTCGCTATCATCAAATAATGGGTTCGTGGAACCCTCGGCAGAGAGTCCAGCATACAATATCGAAGTATAGCTCGTCAGCATCATGAACCTTAATGTATGCTGAGTGATCTGCAAGCCGTAAGTAAACAGTAAACTGGCTATATGCATGCTGGCTTCAAACTGGCGATTCCATGGGTGCATTATGAGTTGATCAAGGCATGTACTGTCATGAGTCAGCTTCAACATGTTGACGCATCATGATAGTGTGGTCGGACTAAGAACAACGTTATCTCGAAAAGAAGTCCAATTCAGACTTACCCCCCGGCAGCGTCTGTTTCAAAAGCGTCGGCAGACATTCGAGCAAGGAGAGTCATGAAGACATAACGGAGGTTCTTAAGGTAGTCAGAACTGGTATAGTCATGCTCCCACTCATTGACCCAGAAACTCAAAGCCTATATTGCATTTAGCTACTATCATAGTTCTAGAGAAGATGTAATACTTGCATGTAAAAGCGTACTTCCACAAGGCATGCGATCGTGTGGTGATGCTCGTCCCTGCTGGAATATCTCTAACAGTTTGTCGACCTCATCATGGAATACTTGTTCTGTTGTGTTGTATACAGACCACACGAGATCAGGTATCAATGAAAATGGGGGAGAATTTATAGAGACCACGCGATGACATTCCAGACCCTGCTTGATCGAGAAGCCAGCGCCACAAGCTATTGTGAATGAGATTGACACCCTTGATCTAAGAATCAGACTACACAATGTAGCCCGAAGTTGCAGGTTTGTCACTGTGTTCTGGAGACTGGAAAGCTGGCATTGAGGGTCGTGAACTGAGGTCCTAGTACATGCAAGCGCGGACCACCCTAATTGATAGGCAAACGCACTTGTACGTGTTCGACATGTACATGTGACTTTTGCAAGTCGCCGCTTTAGTCTCTGATCCTTTCGATGGATCGATCTGAAATTCATCATGTCAGTTTCCAAGGTTGGTTCTGTCGTCAGGGTTACTTCGCTGAGCTTTGCTTCCTAGCCAGGGTCAGTCGCGCACTTGCGGAAGAGAGGCGCGATTACCAAGCGCTCAAGCTTAGATTCAAGTCGCGGTAGAGACATAATGGGCTGTAGCGTGTTCTGTATATGATGTAAATCTGTATGGAGGCTATGAAGGCTGTGCGCCGTAGCTGTGAACCCTCTTTCAACGACTTGTGAATGTCTAGCGAGCTGAAGCTGTGTCTTGTCGAAGACGATACGTTGGAGTTGCAGATTGGAATGATGCTGCGCGTTTTGATCCGTGGATAACTGGGTGAAACGTAGTCGGAAATCCTCTGAAGCCAAGCGTTGTTGGTCAATAACAAGCGCGAGTAGTGCAGTCTGGAGACTCTGCTGTATGGTGTTCAGAACGCCTTTCCAGTATTCGATCTCCGCTTCTTTGAATGGGAAGGCCATCCGCTTGCCCAGCCTCTTCAAGTTCGACTTGATCCCACCACTCGATGCCTGATCATCTGGCTTCAATTTCTTTCTGATCGTTGTAATGGCCTCTGCACACGATGCGATACCTGTAAGAGTTGTCGATACCGACTGGGACGGATCCACCTTCGCGACGATGGATTCGAGGAGTTCGAGTAGGTTGGCAAGCTCTTCCATCTCCGCCGCGATCTGTTCAGTCTTGTCTCTTGCGTCTTTGACACCGCTGACGTACCATTCCAAGCCCTTGCAAAGTTGGATCGCAAGAGAAACAACGCCGACTGCGCTGCCGGTTATCGAAAATGGGTCTGCCATGACGAGAGATGTTGCGCCGACCACAATTCTGCTGGAGGAGAGAGGGGAAAGGGAATTGCGAGAAGGAACAGCGGGACATCGAAGGTTGAGGCTGAGGCTAAGGCGCAGTGCATGCAGCCATGAGGTGTTCGGCCACTCACATTAATCCGACACTTACAAGTGCATCACGCCTAAGCAGCCACATTCCGGTGTGACACATTGGACTAGATGATAGGGAATATTATACGTATATTGTTCCTGTACGCCTCAAAGTCTATGTTAATAAGAAAAGTAAAGCGCTCAATGCTGCGCAGCCAGAGACGTATGCTCCTTATTCATACGCGGCGAGTCATCTTCCTCGTCATCGGAGTCGAGACCTTCCAGCTCGAATTCCTCAGCATCTCTCACTCTACGATCGACCCTGGTGTAGCCATTGATATGTCCGTTCGCGTGGCCGTTCGCGAGTGGTGCTTCGGCATCAGCCTTGTCATCTTGGCCCCAAGCGTATACGGCGTAAAGATGAATAAGCATGTTGACGACTAGACACAAGTTAGCTTGATACCGTGCTGAGGAGGTTTGGAAAGACTTACATAGGAATAACAGGAAAGCGATGCTGTATAGAATCAGGACGTAGGACACATGCGTGACGTTCGCATCAGAAAGCAGCTTCATCTGCTCCTCGGTAGCACCCATAAACATGAAACCTCCAGCCATCAGCAAGAACGGTGTCAAGTATTGAAAGCTGTTCGGGTCTGAGCCGTCAGTCGCAACGGAAGCTCGGTCCTTGAGCACGAATGAGATTTCAATGATGCGCGCGGCACCTGCAGCCATGAGGGTATAGCCAAAGATGGTATGGATCATAGTCGAAATCGGGAGGTGTTGCGGATGTGCGGACATAGCCCAGCCTGTCATCAGGATGATTATACCAGGAATGAGGTTTCGCTTCGGTTGTCCATTGCGCTTTCGGCTCAGCCAGACACCGACTAGTCCCGCAGCCCACCAGACGATGCCCATAGACGTGTGTTGAAGGTCGTTGTGCACCCATGGTCCTCCCCAGCGGTGTTCCGTGAATGTGTTGACGCAGCCCCACGCAGCAATGACGAGGGAATCGAAAAACTCCTGACTCCTTCCAGTCCTCCGCAGCCACATTTGTCCGACCAGAAGCAGGATCAGGAGGATTATGCCGTATGCGATGAAAGCGCTTCCCATGATGAAGTGTGCCAAACATTGTCCGGTGTGGTCCGCTCTGCAGAAGCCGAGTGCAGTGATGCCTCCAAAGAGGAATTGCACCCAGGTCACTACAGGCATAGCCTTTCCGACAACGCCGTGCGCCTTTACCACCACATGCCGTATCTTTCCGTTTATGCCCTTTTCAAGATGTAGCTTCAGGTAGATGCCCATGGCGACTTGGGATACCAACATGAGCATGATGACTGGTACGAACTGGGCATGGATGTTCTCGGTGAACTGTCTGCCTTTATGCCTGTGGCCGAGGAAGTAGCCGATGATTGCGAGGACGGTTCCTATGGATTGGACAGGGACGTGCCATTTAGATCGTATTATCTGGGCAGGTTGTCAGCATGTGTGGGAAAATTTCTTTACAATACGGAGCCACATACCCCCAACACCATACCAGTGGGGAAGATGATGCCCCATGCCAAGGACTGGATCAAGATGTGCGTCCATAGTATCGAGTCCTAAAACAATCGTCAGTCATTCTGCGCTGACAGCAGGTATTCACCCTGGCGGTGTGTCAACGCACGATTGGGTCAGGTGATATAGCCTCGCCGTCTGGAATAGCATCCATATCGTGGTCGTGAGCCGTGACTACTGCGGTATAAAGAAGCGCCACTAGGGCTGCTCTTCTTGTATTGAGGGCCATGTTGCCGGACGCCCTTGTGGAGAATGTTGAGTGTCGCTGCAGCTCCGAACAGGTGATTGTCGTCGTCGTCTGCTGCGTTGAGAGTTTCAGGATAGCATCAGGGCGCGTGCTAGGGCGGGAACGAATGGGCGGTCGAGCGTGTTTGTTGTTTCCCTTGCAGCAGCAGTCGTCGCAATCCCGTGATTACGTTAACAATTCCGCCACACTCCGGCGGATGCGATCAACACCATCATCTCCGACACCAACGCCGAACTGCAGCTTCACCTTCACCACTCGCGACATGGCTATCGAGAAGGGCGCCACCGAAATCGCGGATTCTGAAGATGATCCGATGACGTCGTCACCTGGTGTTGTTCCGGATGAAGCTGCGGACAAGCTTTGCGCAATGGCACGCGTTCCGTACCAAGAGCGACAAGATGCGTTGCACAAGGCAGATTGCCTCCACCAAGCATTTGCACAACGCAGTGCCAACGCAGCTTCATGCTCAGCTGAAGGCTTGGGCGGCGATCGCGACGATGCTCAAATTGACGACGCGTCGAAAATTGATCAAATTGACATGACACTTCAAGACCCCAGTACAGTGCAAGAGGAAGGAGCGATTAACGAGTTGGGCCACCACGACCTGAGCTCGCATTCAAAACTGCGTTCATCAAATCCAGCATCCATGACTGGAGCCATATCAGATGAGTCTAATGTGATGTTGGTGCAAGCCTTACCAAGGATGGAGTCACAGCCTGGTGAGGAAGTACCAGCTCGAAAAGCAGATACCGACATCCAACAAGACAGAAGTAATCAGACGACCAAGGACGAACCCGCCAAACAAGGCGATACAAGAGCCGTAGAGAGCGCAGTGGTGAAAGATGTGGAAAATGATTCCGCAACCGACTATCAAGAACAGCCGTGTATCGCAAGTAGTAACAGTCCCGCCAGAGATGAGCAGGCAGCAATCGCCAGCATCCATATCACTATACTTGATACGCAGTCGAAGATGCCGAGTACCATTGAGCAGCACCCGTCGGATGCCAGTGTCGACGTGGAAGTATCCGATGGGTTCAGGCCACTGTCGCAAGGTTACACGACGCATGGCAGTCTGTCCCAAGAGTCAAGCAATAGCGGCAGCCAAGCTGCAGGCCATTTTTCAGCATACGAATACCCGAACGAGAATGCAGTCTGTCCTAGGCCCATGCTCATCCGCTTCACTCGCTCACATTGATAGGCTCATACCCCAATCGCCTCTACGGCAACATCCATAGGGACAACTTCGGTCGATTCTGCAGCGGACGCGTCAGTTGACAGAGTCGGCAATCATGCAGTCCCAAACCTTTCCTTGGGCGCCGGGCAACATGATGCCCAAAGTCCAGGAACCACGCTCTGTAACTCGCAGATAGATACCGACACTAGCGGAACTGCCATGAGCGCCAGAGAGACTAGCTCAATGATCGACCACAAACAAACTTTGCTAAGAGATTCCACGGAACAACATCTAGCCGTGGCAGAAACGGCCTCGTCGAAAAAGAGCGCCGAAGAAGATTCGGTGGCTAGTTTACCAACTACTGAACCAGCTACTCATAATCAATCGCACAATGGCGCGCGTTGCATGACCCCACCTCCACAAACATCTCCATTGAAGACGTCCCAGGAAACCACTCTCGACAAGATGAGAGCACAAAAGGCTGCGCTTCTAGCTTCTCTCGGTGCTCTTCCAGCCATCCAAGTGCTCATAGAAGAACACGCTCTTTCAGACGCCGAACTAGACGATGCAAACGACGTACCTACCGAGACTGACATCATGGCAGCCGCAAACAAGATAGTCAGAGAACATATCAAGTTACTGCATGAATACAACGAACTGAAAGACATGGGCCAGGGATTGATGGGTCTTATTGCAGATCAGCGGGGCGTACGGATCGTGGAAGTGCAGGAAGAGTTTGGCATCGATGCAGCGGATTGATCATCAACACCAAGGAGATAAACGGGAATAATAAGGCCGTCGATAGCGGCATGGACTAGCCTTGAGAGACACTTGACAGACACGGGATGGCAGTGTCAAATAAACCTTATACTGTAGGTACTTCCATTTTTGCTCCATATGCAATCTGCCATCTTCAACCTACTCAACAGTGCTTCCTTGCTTAGTGTGATAGCCCGCAGACGCGCCGCGCCAGACTGGGACCTTCGACTCGCCCAAGTCGCCAGCAGCAGCTCATGCCGCTCTTTCAAGTAAACCTTAGCGGCGCTGCTTGGCCTTGACACATCAGTCGGCGAACATCGATTACGAACAACACGATAAGCCACGAACTGCACAATACGGGACGGCGAGCGCACACTCAGTCCATTCTCCAGATCTGGACCGGGCCTTTGACGCCCGCCATGTGTTCCGGTAGCGAGAACGCCTGCGCACGGTCTTGGAGCCGGTTCGCAGGGACGCGTTTGGCCAGACTGCCGGAAACCGGAGAGACGCCGATTGGAAAGGAAGGATTCCAGAAGATTGGACTTCACCAGGAAGAGCGCCACACACGTTGCTTTTTCGACCTTCGTCGCGACGACCTTCTCTCGCAGCATCGGAAAATTGTAGAATTACGATCAGCTGAGCCAAAGTCATCATCCGATGTTCCATGACTCTGCCCACATTGCCAGCTCGGTCAACATCGGCCACCAGCACCGCAGCAGGATATTGGACTGCACACATCGTCTTGTATTATTGCGGGTCTTCTTCGGTCGTTTTCACTCATGTAGTCAGGGGCCGCTGCGGAGGCTAAGATTGTACCCCGAATACACCAGCAGAGACGACCCCACGCTTCGAGATGGTCTCAAGCGGGTGTCAGTACCTGACGCGTACCAGCTCCGTGTCAGCCATCGGTGAAGGACTGATCGGGCATCTCGACGCCCAAAATTACGCAATGTCTACAGGTCGGCGACGTTGAACCAGTGCTGTACGTCCGCCTAACAGGCCAACTGACGAAGTGGCGGTGCAGAGTCTGCTCCTTGCCGACCATACAGTGGAGTCGCATGTCGTGCATTCATGCACATCGTGTCAACGGTCTCCTACAGATTTGAAGATCCGCAGACCCACGTAGGAACGTACCCTTGGGAAGATCCCAGAAATCCCAGTCTTCGGATTTATTATTGCGACATGTATGTTTACCATGACTTGGTTCAGCATGACTTGTAAGTCACCACGGTGGCGATTCGCAGTTGGACGTCCAGAACAGACGATTGCGGTGCCTGGAAACCACCAGGCACATGAACCGTATGACGCCTCTTGGTATACATTACCTGTGTCCAATTTCAGGGTTAAGATGACACTCACTTTCGGATAGCAAGCTCATACATCTAACTTCCGGGTGGCACTCTGGATGTGAGAAGCTAGAGTTCATAGTGTCCCGCTCGCCGATACCAAGCAAGGGTTCTGCTCCACTTTGCAATGCAGCTCTAGTCGCAAACACAACCGAGGGTCCTTTGGGACACACCAAATTACTAGTGAATGGCGTCGAACCGCGGTGATTGGCAGTTAGAAGAAGTGCAGGATAACCAAGGCCCTCGCTAAGCTGACAGCTCCGCGGTGCATGCCGTCCCGTCCACTAACACTCTCCCACTGCTAGTCAGTTACCCATGATGAACCTATCGGCAATTGCAAAGCGCCCTTCTCGAACGGGGCATGTCTCCTTTCCGTACCAGCGACGATATATGGTCGTTTTGAAGACCCTGAACCCTTGCCGTCTAGGACCTTTTTGACCGAACTCCTCCTTCCCCAACTTTCGGCGTTACTTTTACCACACACCATGTCGGCATCCGTACAGGACTTCCAGCTTGCCGCTTTGGCCGCCGGCTTCACAATCGGGTTTGGGTTCTTGACAGTATGGGAGGCTGTCAAGCAGACACGAAGGAACCACAGCCCGCTACGATCTGCCTACATCTACATGATATGGGGTGAGATTTTTGTCAACGTGGTTATCGGCATCATCGGATGGCTGTTCTTGAACGACAGGCTCGGGCCAACGTAAGTTGTCTAGAAGACTGTACACTACAGGACGTCTTTGCTAATGAAGAGCTACCAGTGTCCCAGTCTTATTCTTCATTCTGTTCTTCTGGGTCTTCGAGGTCCAGCTACTTATGCAAATTATCATCAACCGTATCGCTCTCATCGCAGAACACCGGAGTACCATCCGTAACCTAAAATGGGGCACAGTGATACTCATCACTGCCATCAACATCGCCGTCTTCTGTATCTGGATTCCATCTCACACCGTCCCTCCAATCAGCGAGACATACGTCAAGATCAACAATGTCTGGGACAAGATCAGCAAGGTCCTTATCCTAATCGTCGACGCGGGCTTGAACTGGTACTTCCTGCGAACCGTCAAGATCAGGCTAGTGGAACAACACGGCCTCACCAAATACGCGCCCCTCGTAGGCTTCAACGGCAAGCTCATGGTCGTATCCATCGCCATGGACGCCCTCCTCATCGGCCTCATGTTCCTCAAAAACCAGGTCGTATACATCCAATTCCACCCCGTCGTCTACATTGTCAAGCTCAACATTGAAATGTCCATGGCCTCCCTCGTCGTCCGCCTCGCTCAAGGAAAACAAAGCGACATGAGCCCCGAAGAGTTCCACAGCTCTTCTGGCCCGGACTCGCACTCCCGATCCGCCGTACTCTCGCACCAGCCAAACTCCATGCACTTGACTAACCGGTCAAAGCGCAATACGACGAACGCGCGCAGCCCGGGACTCAGCAAGATCGATAGCGACGATAGCTTGGATTTGGGTGGCATTCAGTGTACCACGGATCTGCGCATCACGCATGAGGATCGGAAAGATTATGTGGACAGGAAGGACTTTGTGGAGGGCAGCTCGAGGAGTAGTAATGACGCGCCGACGCCGAGTGTATTTGGGGATGAGACACCGTTGCATAAGCAGGGCATGAGGGTGCAAGAGAGGGAGGTGTAGAGCGCTTTTTTCTCTCTTATGTTTTTCATGTTTGTGTGAGTCGTGTTTAAGTAATGATACCCGTGGATATGTAATCACAATTGGTAACTACAAAGGCCGAATTCAAGACAATGTGTACGTCAAAAGTGTCCTCTCTGCTAGCTTACGAAGCGGGCGTTCACTTCCTCTATCCGGGATTTCGGACTCAAAGCTCTCTGCTTCGGCAATGATCTGGTTGGATATCATATTGATCTCAGCGCGCGTGTGCTGTCGCTACTCTCATTCCAGCGCTGACCTGGCAAAAGAATGCCAACTTCTTCATCGACCTTGCTTGACGTACTGCCGGGGTTGATCCATATGCAGCACGCACAGTCTTGTGTGTATATGGATCTCGCTCCACCTCCACACTCCAACGGTCATGCCCCCACTCGTTCGCAGATAACCAGCCTACCACCACTACGACCAATACCACGCGACACGGTTCTACCTGATCATCCCGACCGGTACTGCGACAACGAGCTGCCACCTAAGCAAGTTTTTTGCGTTTGTAATGTTGACGAAAAGAGACCGATCTTGGCCGGCGTAGGTGTTACATTCCGAGTTGGCGATGTATAGCGTTATCAGATAACGTAGTAGGAGCTCACTGGCCAGCTTTCGACACGTGGGAGAGGGGAGGTATCACCAAAAGAGCCTGTTCCCAATCTGCGAAATCGATGTCGAGGCTCGTTTTCGACTTCGACTTGGTCCACCTTAGTCAGGGCTATGAACATAGTGTTTCGATAATCCGAACCGTAGTTTGAGAATCCGCAAGCCAGCAGAACGACTTCTCTCCATTCTGTTGTTTGTTCTCGAGCATCGAGGTTGACTGTTAACTGAGGATCCTGACGATCATCGCTGCTATCTTGGAACCATCTAAGCTCGCTCAGGTCTTCCTGTGGTTGCTTATCTTTCTGTCGCTGCCTGTTTTGTCTTCCGTATCGCCATTCTACACTAAGAGCAGGGCCTTTAATATGAAGCGCGGCACTACGCACCGCTCCATAGAGAGCTTCAGCACTCTTAGGCATGTGATCAATTGAAAGGACCTCGCACATGCAGTTATAGCTGGCATTATGCGAGACTAGGCCATCAATCGATGTCCATGACCAGGATGGACCTCGGTATTTGGCCGGTCTATCGGTAGGCTGACCAAGCTTGTCCCAGAGCAAGCTCAGGGGCATCATGTTCTCCCAAATACCTGATATATATCGTCCTGGTACAAAATCTGCGAACCTCTCAGCAATCCCAGATATAGCAAGGATTCTGTCTTCTGATTCTGTCACCGACCGTAAACTGTAAGATTCAACGATTTCATGCCAGGAATTACGGACGAGCTCTTCGTTTAGTTGCCCGGATGGATATCCGGGATTTACCGAGAAGAACATGGCTGCGTCGACGAAGCTACTACTGTAGACAGACTCGGCTTCTTTGGACCCAAAAGGGCCCTTGCCTGCCCATTCCGCAATTCTGTGGTCAAAGGGAAGACCCACGCGGGAGCTGGCGACCCAGCCATCTCTGTGACCATCGACCTCTCGTCGACAAAGCCACTCTGTCGACCAAGTGCCAATAACGAGTCGGCGACGAGAAAGGAGGTATTCTTGCAAAGTCCATCCTCGTGTATTTACAGCCAAACTTTCCTCCCGATCAGACGCATCATCGAATGATAAAGTAAGACACTGTGTTTGGCCGTTCTTTGTTCGATATTGGATAGAACTAGTTCCAGAAGGAAGAGTCCTTGGATGCAGGAAGCCTTCAGTTACTCTATCGCCCCTCTGGTTGACTATCGTCAATGTCGCATGAGCATAGACCTTCGCCATCTGACTGATTTCAGCGTCCTTGTCCTCCTTGCTATCCTGAACGATGCACATCGAATCGATCCAGATGTATTGGAAACCCAGTGCCTGGGCCGTTTTTGCAGCATCCTGAATAGTTTTTGGTAGAATTTCCCAAGCAATGTTCTTCTTGTAAAGACCGTGATTTTCTTGTGTCAGCTTGTTCGTTTGATCCCCACCCCAGCAATAACTCAAGGCCACATATTTTGACATGTCATGTTCTCCCATATCGTCGCCACAAATGATTCTCAATTGTAACTGATCTGGAGGGCCTGTTATCTTGATAAGACGAGTTGGAACATACGCTCGCTCGCTCAACGAGCAGATCTTGTGGTAGCCATGCCGCTCATCTTCACAACGCTGTAACCAATCGCGCACATCCGTGACCGTGCGAGCTGAAAGCGGATCACGAGAAACTGATCTCTCGGCCTCCACTTCCCCATCAGAATCATCTGGTAATTTTGTCAGCGATGTTGCTTTACCAGAGTCAGGGTGGCGTATCTTGTGTCACAACATAAGACTCTTACCTGAGGTCTCAATCAAGATACAGTATACATATAACCGACCTTCCCAGTGTCCAGCACTTACAAAGCAGCGACTCGAGTCTTTACCCTCAAGCACTTCATCTTGAAGGTGCAAGCTTTGCAGACACATTAAGGGCTCAATGGTTATGTAACCATCACTTGACGGGCGAGTGTACAGCTGGATCGCCTCAGGATTTGCGCCTTCGTACATGTCGCGCTCTATTTCGTATTTGAGGCACTGCGCAAAGTCACACCCAGCCTTGGATCTGAGCCTGAGATCTGCCAAAGAAAGACCCAGACGATTTCCGGTGTCCTCAAGGAAGCAAAGGTTACTGAATGGATCTTCTGGTGGGCCTATACCTGATGTATACATCTTTTCCGGGCTTCCCGGAAATACTATGTCCACACAATGTGCGCATGAGTGGGCAGGCGGCGAAGTAAGTTCCTCCATGTTCGATCTTAGTGTTGCTTCTTGTGCTCTTTGTGATGTTCGTTTGGTGCTCGTGCTGCCCGTGTTTGTGTCGATTCCGGTAAGGCTGATGTTGCAACTTGCGTCTGAACAGACCTGGAAAACCACTATGTCGGATATTGTTGAGCTCGTTGGCCAAATAAAAGACCGTAACTCGGTGACAGAAGTCCTGCTGGAGCAGCTATGATGTGGGGTGCGATGTGATAACTTAGAGTGCTGACCAGGCTGAGCCACGACAGCGCATACCGCCACCGTGTCACGTGGCCATGATGCGGGGTTCAAAAGATGATATACAGCCTTGTAGGTCTGCATCGCGGCAACAGACTCATGCCACATGACCTTTCTGTGTTAAGTTCATGCACAAGGTAATAGTGCTGCAAATGCTGTGAAAATCCGAAGAACTGCGCTCACATCGTCTACTCAGATAAAATCTACTAGAAGCTCAAGAAAACACTGATGCGTCAGATCGCTGCCGCAAACCGACGATGCTCCTCCGTCAAGGAATACATCAGACGAGTAATTTCGAGAGGTATACCATCAACTCGGTCGAGTGTCTTCCTACCAAAAGTCTGCCTTCAATACGATCAAGAAACCCGCAATTGGGTACCCAAAACGCAAAACCAATAGCTGCCATATTATGCACCTCAGGCCTTCGCGGCCCTTGAAGCAACACCCTATTCTTTTCCGTCGTCAAGGGACGTGCTGATCATGTTAATCCTGCTTTCGAGCCCACACTCGGGACTAAAATCGAAGCCATTGGTTCTGGGAACTGTAGGATCAGATCTCGCAATCAGAGGTACTCTGGAATTGAGAAGAAGATAAAAGTGATGGCGTCAAACCCTCGGCTACTTACAAAGAGCACGAAATCATCTCAACTCTCTATACTGTTCTTTGCCCATCGGCAACCAGCTTGTGATTATCGGACTCGTAGACAAAGTTCCACTGAATCGCAGGTAGAGTTACTTCCACGATTTCTTGATTTCCGTAGTGGAAACGAGATGTCATGCATTTCTAATGAAGGAAATTCATCGAGGCCAAGACTAGGAATCTAAAAACCCTAGAGGTTGGAGTGTGAAGAAGAAGAGGCGCTAGTTTTGACTTATATACGTAATCACTGGTGAGAAACTAGTGCACAGCGATAAAGTACACGATCAGTATTGTAATGTCTGAAAGTCTAACGTCTTCGGTGTCCACGGACGTCTCGCACACACATTTCGATGCTCAATATCCCGCTACACCACACCATTCCATCCGCCTGCCAGATACACCTTCTCCCCTGCTGACTCCTCCCTCCTCCTCCCTACTTCTCTCTTTCTCTCCACCCAACCCTTCCACATCTCAGTTCTGTTTCCCTTCTTAGAATGTATTACATTGCGCGCCATCACTCGTCGCAGGGTTACCGCTACTAGCTCTACAGCAATTGGCATACGAGTTGGAAAACTCTGCAGTCGACCACCCAGACGTATAGTAAGCGCAGAAACCTCCCGACTCAACATTGCCCACAACACGCGTGCCGTCAGACAGCGTGATCCGGCTCCCGCAGCAATCGTCAGAAATATTGTTCACTCGTCCAGCTGGTGTGCATCTACATCGGTAATTGGCCTACGTAGGGGTTGTCAGCTTTGTGGGTGGAGGGAAGGGCAGATTCACGTACCTGGGCGACAGTTGCCAGAAGAGCGCAGCTAAGAGCTGATACAAGTTTCATTGTAGAGATGGAAAGCCGGAAAGACTGAAAGTCGAGTTGAAGGGCTGAGATGAAGGCAGGGTAAGGTGATAGAACAGGCTCAAATGCTCACGAGGGTAATGGTGAAGTCAGATTTGGCTGCAGAACCGATGAACTCTACAAAGGAAGTAGGTGCCGTTTATATAGCCAACTCCTTTACTGTGTGCTGCCATGTCTTAGCATCAGCACTTCCGCTGTCATCGTAGCACATGCTGTCTTACAGCCTCATCCAATATTCGCTCCTACTTCCCTGTTACTTCCTGAGTGGGACTTGCATAACTGTTCTTACTGGTTGTATATTGCTTACGCTTAGTAAACAAAACCTACCTATGTAGGCTTAGCGATTGTATCCAACTAATTGCACTTCCAAACTCACGCCATTTTTCTGGGTACTGCTTACCTCCCAAGCCTTTGTGAATGAACGGCGGATGTGATATGTACATGTAAGATCACGCTAGGAGTGCTAAGGCCTGCTGACAAAATTTCCCTTCTTGGGTTAGACCTGTCATGTTTGGTTCACGCTCCGACTTGATGCTATGCTTGGCATGAACGTCCATGTACCGACATACAAAGATTGTGCGAGCCGCGTCGTGTCAGCCTGCTCGTAAAACCAGTGCCTAGTCATCATTCTGAACCTAGCCTGGTGCCGGGTGGTCGTCGGCGAATATCCTGTGTTAAGTCTCAGCCAGACTCTTTCACCCAACCTACTACTTCTTTTCGCGATGCTCTATTTAGTCTCTGCCTTCCCTTGTCCCTCAAGCTTTTCGAATTCGCTGTCTTGGACGACTGATTTGTATTCCTCTTGAAGACTAAGGGCTAAGTGCAGACCGTCGAGCCTATTTGCGCTCTGAGCGCAATTTGGCGGTGACCTTCTTCCGGACATCCCGGACAGCACCAAAACGGGTTCCGGGATAAATCGAGCCTGCGCTGTACCGGAGGTGCACTAGTCACAAGAATTTGCCTGTCAATGTCTCGTTCCCTAGGTTGATAGTGCTCCAAGGCATAGGGTGGACAGGCGCCTAGTCATGTGTGGTTTGGCCTACCATGGGCGAACACCTATCGTACCCACGTACCTGAATATGGTGGCCTTTTGAGTCGTTCCTCTAGGAACTGGCAAAAATTTTGTGCTCTGGAACTTCACATGTTTACCTCTATTGATAACTCAAGAGAATGTGAGTCTGGGCGCATGTTTAATCTACGAAGATCCACGCAGACATTACCGATGTGGATTGGTGGTTTTGGTATTTAGAGTGTTCGATGTTGGCGAAGAAACCAGCATACCAAATTTGTGGCTTTTATACCAGTTCCAGGACCAGAAGAATGCTCCATCGGTCACTGTGCCATTGCACTCTGGAGGAAGAGGAACATGTGCTCGTTTCGGCGGGTTTCGCAAAATTGCAGATATCCCAGGATTATTGTGCAGTTTTCTGGCAAAAGAAGGGAGTAAGCTCTATGTGGAAATGTAGTCTGCTGGAGCGGTGGTTCTCATAGAAATAGCAAAACCAATGATGCACATTATGTCTATAAATCCTTGGTCTTTCGGGAGAAGAGAAGGAAGAACATGGGCATGTTCTTATATGCTTTTGAGGACAGAAACGTGTATGCTTTCTTTATAGCTTTCGACAGCACAGACATGGAAAGTCCTTTTTCTTATTTTAATGTAGAAAAGAAGCGACTGTGGATGAGAAGATGGTCTTCATCAAAGAAGAAGTCTTATAGTTATCTAGGCTAGCGGATGCAACCCATGGAAACCGTACTCGAAACCTTCCAGGCAAGAATGGGGCCTGTTTGCGTGACTTTGGAATCAGAACGAAATTTTTCAAGTCCTTGGCTCACGGAAGGTCTCTTGAGTTTCACACGCTGTATTATCTGGAAATGCAACGTGGAAAATGGTAGTTTTGAACAGTTTGCAGAGGCCGCGAAAGGTCCATGGCTGAGTTGGTCTGACGTTTTTAGTCGCCGTCGATATATAGGTTTTGTGTTTCTCAACGAGCTGAACAGTTCATGATTCTTTGGTGTAGTGTTTTTGAGGCGGACATGAATTCCACCCGATAAGTTTTTGGAAAAAGGGTGTGAAAATGTGGAGATTCCCGACAGGCCGAAATCATGATCAGCTTGATGCGTTCTTTTGAGAGTTTGCCAATCCAAACGGTGAGTTGGAATGCAGCGAAGAAAGGAAGAAGGGCGACGATTATATACCTGCCCCACTGCACGCTAGGCCGAAAGCCGTCTCAAGCGATGATCCTTTCAAGAATAGATGCATGGGAGGTGTTGCCGATAAGTTATCGCTGATCGGAGCAAGGCCGAGAGGGAAGTGACTGCACATGGTCCCTTTCACTTTCCTTTCGAAACGAACTAAAGGGTTACAACAAGGCAATTGAAAAGATCTGAGGGCTCACCATGAGGTCACCACTCAGCTCAATCGACTAGAGGGATGTGGTAACAATATTTTGTGTGAAAAGACAAAGTGATACCCATGTGAGTTGGTAGCCCGTCT